CCCCTCCCCCCTTCCCACCGGGGTCCCTGTGTGCTGGGGAGGGGTCAACCAAGGGGCCCGATTGCACAGAAAGATAAAACCCTAAGGAAATCTACTCAGGGAATCTAACGAACAAAACGAATTAGCCAAGAAAATAAGACCTGAGCCCGGCCGGCGTGGCTCAGGGGTTGGGCGTCGACCTACGAACCAGGAGGTCACGGTTTGATTCCCGGTCAGAGCAGATGCAGGGATCGGGCCTAAGCCGGCAGTCGGACATCCCCCGAGGGGTCCCAGATCGGAGAGGGTGCAGGCCGGGCTGAGGGACACCCCCACCCCGTGCATGAATTTCGTGACCGGGCCACTAGTCTATAATAAGAAAAGCATGATATGCTAATTTGACCGGACGTCCTTCCAGGCGTCCTTCCGGACGACCTTCTGGACAAAGCTGAGCCCCTTGCACGGATTTTGTGCGCCATGGAAGTCAGTGTCGTAAGATGTGCCCCCCGGGCTCACGGAGTTTATAGCGTTTCCGTAAAAGGAAAACCCCTGAGCCCCAACAGAGAGCAGGCGGGGACCGAGCTGTCATGACCGAGCCCGCTGTGTGGGCGAAGGACTTGCAACGCTGTAGGGTGTCCCTCCTGTGAAGCCCACGTCGGCCTCACGGACGCCCCGGCAGCGTGAGGAACACACACAGAAAAGGCCTTGGAGCCTGGGCCGGTGTGGCTCAGTGGTTAGAGCGCCGGCCTGCGGACCGAAGGGTCCCGGATTCGATTCCCGGTCAAGGGCACAGACCTCGGTTGCAGGCTCCTCCCCACCCCTGGCCCTGGACGAGGTCCGTGCAGGAGGCAACCCATCGAGGTGTTTCTCTCCCATCGATGTTTCTCTCTGTCTCTCCCTCCCTCTCGCTTTCACTCCCTCTAAAAACCAATGGGAAAATATCCTCAGGTGAGGATTCTCTCCCTCTCCCTTCCTCTCTGAACTCAGTGGAAATATATCTATACTCATAACATTTCGTGCACTAGTGGCCCGGTGCACGAAATTCATAAAAAAATGAAAGAAATAAAAGGCCCTCCAGGTTACTGGGGGGGAAGCGTGTCCGGAACCAGGGACCCACGTGGACCCTGTTAGACCCACCGGCCGAGACTCCTGGGAGAGGGGCCGGTCTGGCCTCAGGGCCTGGAGGTCGCCAACGCGAAACCGCAATGGGAACAGAGGCGGGGCCTGGCCGGGTGGCTCAGTGGGTGAGCGTCGTCCGATGGACCAGGAGGTCATGGTTCGAGTCCTCGTCAGGGCACTCGATCCCCAGCAGGGGGCAGCCGGTCCAGGATTCCCTCTCATCACTGATGTTTCTCTCTCTCTCTCCCTCTCCCTCCGTCTCTGAAATCAATTTTTAAAAAGTATTTTTTTTAAAGAAAGGAGGCAGACGAGATTTGCCTGTGGTTCCTCCTCCCCCCTCAGCCTGGGTCTGAGTGCCCTGCCCCCCTCCCCTGCAGTTGGGGGCGAGCAGGCTGGCGGGGGGGGGCAGTTGGGGGCGATCA